AGCAGCCAATACCTGTGTAATGTACGTGTGCTTCCAAACTACCTTTTAGTACTTTATAGTAGTACAGCATCTTGTTTGCAGATGCTCTGGATGAGCAACTGATGGAAGGGGGAAGGGACTCAAAGCTGACTGACCTAATTGCTGTGTAGATTGAGACGCTGGCAAAATCATTAGGTTTTTTAATATGTTTTCTTTCTATACTACAATAAAGATAAATATTGATTGCTAGAGCAATATTGATTGTAGGGGTCACTGCAGATGGCAGCTGCATGATTTGCACAAATATCTCCCATGTACAGCGCTGCTTATTTGCATGAGAATGCAGTTTCACCATCCTCGTGTGTTGCAGCTTGTTCACTTGCCTTATAGGAGCATTTACTCAAACTATATATATCAGTGATTAGCAGTAAAACATGAAACAAAGGACTGAAACAGTTCATCTTCTTAATACATTTTGTGTGTGTGTGTCTGTCTGCTGTGGGTAAGTGGTGTTTATTGTCCCAGCCAAGCGGAAAGAAGCGCAGAACACAAGAGACCTGCTGTAATTATGGTGCAACGTCACCACCTCACTTGGGAATACCACCCAGCTGCACAGCATGCCTGAGACTGATGCTCTCTTCCTTCACCCACTGACCTAGACACTGAACATGCTAAGCCTGGATGTCTTCCTTCAAGCTCCAAGCTTTGGGTCATCAGGGTCACAACATCCCCATGGAATGGTTTCAGCATCTTCTGAGCTGAACTGCCTGGTGGGATCTTTGTCCACTTGCAAGAATGGAAAGGCCCCTCCAGCGTGGACCAGGCTTGTGAGGAGGGTGGAAAACTGCCTACCACAGGCATGGTGCCTATGGCAGAGTACAAAACCCTACGCTAAGCCAAAGAGGAGTCCTTGTGGTGTGTAGGACTAAGTTGTGGGAAGCAGCAAGGGCATTTATGCCCCTTTTTATCACTGTTGCAAACCCCTAAGTGGCCCATTCAAGGTCAGGCACCTCCTGCCAGGGATACTGCTGCCTCTCTCCTCCACCTGCAAGCTCGAGGAGGGAGGAAGGAGAAGGCAGAGAAGCAACCTGCAGAGACGGCCTCCTCACCTCCTTGGACACTGCTAAGCTGCAGGGAAAGCCCTCTTTCCCAAGCACTTTACACACCTCTGCGTGTCTACCTTGTAGCCAGCAAACTGCATCTTAGTCTGGGCAATGCTGCACTTTGAGACTGCTGCTGGCTGACCTGCTGATATTGAAATTCAAAGGAAAAGCATGCATATTTAACCCCAATTCATCATTTTGATTTTGATTAACTCTACAAGTCAGAGGTTTGCAGGCTTTAATCATGTCTTAAGAAAATACTCCTGTCCTCTCTTTTCGGCGTTTTCCAATAGGAAATTCAATAAAAGGGTATTTCCTATTATTTATCTCCTTCCACTTACTTTGACACATCATGGACCTCTGAAATATCTGCCCAGTATTTATCCAAACCATAGCTTGTCCAGCATAGAGAGTGCTTTTATTTCCTCAGTGGACCATAAGGAGGATATTAATACTGGAATCCAGGTTTATGTCGTGGTTATGCACTGACCCTAAGCCACTGTAGCAGATGAGCAGGCATTCCATTTGGTAAGTACTATTTATATATAGTGAGCGAGTATTTCATAGATGCTTTTTGGAAGATCTTAGAAATACACCACAGTTCAGAATGTTATGCTTCATTCTTCATTTCCTTTTAAGTATATCTCTTGGGGTGTTACATTGAGCAGCCCTGTCTTACAAAATCAATTATTCCTTAGCCAGCTCAGAAATAAAACCCAAAGTAAGCAACACCAAATGTCTGATTTACCAATAGATTGCAATCCAGTGCTAAAGAGCGCAGCCACTGCCCCGCTTTAATTATTCATGAAGCCCACTGGTGCAAAATGCATTAAAGGTGGGAATAATGCCAGTAATACATGATCCTCTTAGTGACAAGAAGCTTTCACATATTAAAGTAGCAAGATGTTAAAGACTTTCAACTGAACAGTCTTTGTTTTTAACTTAGAGAAAGAGATTCACTAATGGAATGCCAAATTGCATTCATACTCGTGATATGAGACTGCAGAATAGGATAATAATACATGTGTGCTTTACCATGCTGTGGAAAACCTGTTATTACAGTGAGTTCTTTTCTGCCTTTTCTTTGCACTTTCCAGAAAATGCTCACACACATATCTTACCCCTTCAAGTAGTCTTCTATGTGACAAACCCTCTATCAGAATCCCAGGAGTCTAGCCATTAACAGATTGGTTTTACGCAAATAAGATTTTAAAATAATGGTGACACAGTACAATAGCACAATTTAGCTGAGTGACAACTGGCAATGAAAAACAACAAAAACGAAAAAAAAAAAAAATAGTAGTTAAACCAGAGACAAGGGACTGCAAAATAACAGACTGTGGCAATGCAGAATAATGTTAATTGTCGCTTTAAATCATCAGCAGCCCAACCACATCTGCTATCACACCTGTGCTCTCTTCTATGATCTGCTCTGGCACCCTAGAAATACTAGGCGAACAGCCAGCCTCATATCTCCAGATCTCTGTGGTCTGGCTCTGCTACCAGCTTGCATCCCTCTTACCTGGAATGGATCAGGCACTGACCCTGCACCCTCAAACTGTTTCTGATTGATAGGGGACACTGCTAGTGCTGGACTCATCACCCTGTAACAACAGGTCCCAGGACCACTTGGACCCACCGACCCTATTTGGATTTTACAAACCTCATCAGTCAGGTGAGATACCTAAAGGAGCCCTGCTTGCATCTGAAATTTGATCCACATAAAAATAGTGATCAAATAATAAACTGAAATTTCTTTTCCCACTTAATCTAAGGACATTTTCTGCACAGCAAATCTTGGCAGAGGGAGTGGGGGAATATGTCTGTCTGGTGCCAAACAGATAATTCAATTAACATACATTTGAAAGAGGGTAGGCCCCCCATACATAGTTCGCTTTTATTCTAGAAATAAGAATAACAAAGAGCTAACACCCAGGAGACTCATTTTTTAGAAAGACGTTTATCCAAGACTAATCAGGGGGCAGGGACAGGAAAACAGGGCTATGTTACGGCATATAGAGTTGTTTACTTCAAAGCAGACCTTTAACAGGCTTTACATGGTCTTTATACTTCTGTTTGGAAATCTGCTTTCCTGCCTTTTAACAGTTTGTCTGGTAGCATCTTCCCAGTAAATGCCCTTCCCTGTTTCCCGCCCCAAAAAGCATCTTCCCCCTCAGAAAGACCGCCTGTCGATAAAGATTGAGAACTTCAGCTCCTGTAGTCATTACGCTGCTCCGTATAAGCCAAGTTGTTTCAAAGGGGAGGAATTGGGTAGTGCAAAAGCTGCAGTGGGAAAATTACTAGCGTAAGTTGGATCAGGCTATTTTACCAAGCTATTTCTGGAAAAAAATAAATGCTGCTACTCAGTGCTTATGATTAATAATGTTATCTTGTAGCTAATTTTGTTCCTTGCCCCTCTCTTCTCCTGCCTTCCAATTTGGAAGTGCACTTAATTATGAAAACATGAGCACTAGACTGTGAATTTTGATATATTAATTTTACCATGGTTTTATTTCTACACTGCACCACCGAAACTCTCAAGGACAACCGGTCAAGGAGACAATGAAAACCTTGACACCTGGGGTAATTTTCTTAAGCAAAGTCAAAATTAAGCAATTTTTTCCACAGAATTCTCATTACATTACTGCAAACCTATAGCCATGACGCATCTTGCTCCTGTTTTTCAACAGCACAATTTGTTTCGTTGACTGGAGCCAGAGCAAGGCCTCTGTGGTTTGTTTATTTAGCGTTTTTTTAAAGACTAGAACCAGAGGTTATTAAAAGCCTGGCAAGACAAAACCAAAATGAGCACAAATGGATGCCCATGACCACATTCCTAAGCTTCTTCACTGAACAGCAGAAATGTTCATTATTTCATGCCTGACAAACAGTGTACAGATTCCTTGCCTGGACGAGGTCAGCTGCCCACCACTGGGCACAATTACAATGTTCACCATTCATTCATTGACTCCTCTCTGCTCCATTCCTACTGTCCAAGTTAGAGTTTGGGCAATGCTGCTTTGTTGACATCTCACTGCCCAGTCTCTGTATCCATCCTTTAACTACCACCAGCCCACAACTTCAGAAGCAACATCTAGACCACAGCTCTAACATTTGCATGATTATTTTGTTGTCTCTCTAAATTTGTATTAATTACTTAGACAGAAATATGAAGCTTGGCATTAAGGGAGCATTAGAAGTACAGCTCTGTGAACAGCAGCTTTTTTGATCTACTGGCTGTTCCAAAATCACAATGAAGTTGTTAGTTTAAAGTTAGCTTAATATACGTTTGCATCGTTTCTAGGCAAAATGAAAAAAAATAATTCTTAGTAGATTGATTTATTTCCCTTCAGTTTATGTGGTTAAGGTTTAAAATAATTAAAAAACCCTGAATACTTTTGAAGACTCTTTTAAAAATAAAAAAATAAACAATTTCCATTCAGAAAATGTCTAAACGTACACTCTAATTATTTCAAACATTTGAGGGTTAGGTCTTCAACTCCAACAACAAGGAAAAAGTGAGACAGATTTCCCAGCATTTCTAATGCCACACATGAATTAACATGATGATAATACTAATGATACTTTTTAACCGCAAAAGCTTTAGGTCAATTATTTTTCCCAGTTCTATTTTTAACAAAGTATAAAGCTGTAAAACCCCAGATGGAATAACATAAGTTATAACAGCAACAAAATGGATAACTGTGTTTCTAGTCTTTGTCTAAATTGTGCATGTTCCAAAATTATAAACCAGACTGTTTTATACATTTTTTCAGAGTAATAACCACCTCAATCACTGCGCGATGAATCTCCGCATGCAGAAAATTGAATATCTAATAGTTGTAATGCTTTCTAAACCACAGTACCTTTAAATAATACAACATTCATTAAAATAAAGAGTAGACCAAATTACTGTACCAAACATCCTCTGCATCTTCGTCACACTCTGCCCCAAACTGGCAAATGTCACAGGTCGATGTCTCTTTTTGATTGGTTTCACCTGAGCCTTCATTGACTGTTTGATGGAAAGCAGAAGAATATACATTAGTAAAGACAGCACTGTAGCAAAACCGTTCTCTCTCTCTAGAAAAATCTATTCAACACATCAGCTTGATGTGCTGCTCACAGAGACGATGCCCAGCCAACAGACACTGGTTTTGAATGGCGGCAACAGAGAGATTTTCATGTTGGTCTGTGATAAACTTGCTGAATTATGGAGTTAAAAGGGAAACTAAGGAAAGACGTTTCCTCTTCCTTTTCCACTTAAACAATGATGCCTTCAAGCTGCAGCCCAGAAAGGCTGAGTCACCACCAAGCCTTGCTGCTTTGGTCCCTGGGAAAATAATAAAGGTGTATCGACAGCATCACATGCTGCCTTGTGTCCTTTACCATGGGAGGCCTTGAGATGGACCCAAGGGGATGTTTTCCTCAAAAATGTTTTGAAATTACCTGCCGTGTGGTGCAATCTAGTCTATTCGAAAGGCAAATCATTTTTCTCTTCAGAAGTACAGCTATGAGCCCCAAGGACTAGTTATCTCTGTCAGGCAAGATTTAGTGCTGACCAGAGGAGGGGACAACCTCCAGCATAGGTTAAATTTGAAACCCAGGAAAGTTAACGTCAGTGTCTGCAATTATGTAAGGTTTATACCTGGCCCTTAAGTCAAAAACGTGAAGGGACTAAGGGGAAAATAAAAATACGGGTGTGAGAGGACTGTAAAAAAACATTGATGGCTGAGTCCTGAAAGACAGAGAGACTACTAAGGTAGGTGCCAAGAAGAGGGTTTGTTAAAAGATCCAAAAGAAACATTATCTACATTTGTATTAAAGTGCATAAGCACTTTTTGATATCTTTCAATAGGTGCTGCTTTCTAGCAAGACACTGTACCTAGCGATATCCTTCTGCAAAGTTACAGAATAATTAAACGAACGCAGGCCTTAAGCACCAGTCAGATTTGATTGATGCTGTTCTCTGCATAAACAGCCTCTGCAGTGTCATCCTTTCATTTCTCTTTTTCATTTGGAGTCAGCACTGTGGTGTAGGCTTACTGTACATTTGGGTCCAACCTACCAAAGCCGGTGGACATGATGATGTGTGTTGGTAGCCCCAGTGACACTGATGGGACAAATCACTGGCCTGATGTACATCCACTGCTCGAGACCATTAACCTGTAACCCGGCTGTTAGCCATCAACTTGGTTGTTCCTGGAGGCTTTCGGGTTGGAGTACTCTGACTAGGCTGCTTTTGTTATTCACTCAAGAAAGGACAAGAGTCCCAAGCTTTCACAAAGCTATTGGAGGAAAAAGGGCTTCTGCCCCTAGAAAAGCAAGTGTGACCCCAATGCCTGTTTTTCAACAAACTTGCTTTCTTACCCTGGACAAATTATTTAACCTCTGTCATGTTTCCCACTGTGTAAATGGGAAGAATACCACTTTCTACCAACAGGGAATATGGAAAAAAGTATATTAAAAGATCATGATATGCTTAGATACTACAGTGATATAGACCACAGAAATACTAAGGTAGATGGTTTGCCTCAGAAGTTTTTTCCTGAGGTTTAATACAGTCAAAGGAAGTGTTGCTATGTTTAGGTATGAGCTATGTTGCAGCAATTTCTCATCAGTCGTGCTTGAATTTAGACCATATTAAATTGAAAAAATACACCTATGATGAGTATTCTGATGATCCTAAAAGGAAAAATAAAGAGGGTTTTAGCTTATTTGCAGAAGTTTGCTCACCTCTATATCCATAAAATTTACGTAAGATAACCAAAGGGGAAACTCGGGGAAACAGGCGCTTTTCTACTGCATTGTCAGGTTTTGTAGAGAGTGTCTGAGCTGTGGTTTTTCCCCTTCATTAAATGACCGAGGAACTCTTTAGGCTCACATTTTGTAAGAGCCAACGTATGAAGGTGGACAAGGTGCCCAAGTGCCATGTCCTCACACCATTAGCACCTCCACATGCCGTGTGTGTGATCCTGACCCAAACGCACTGTAAGGCCCATGCTGCTGTACAGCTCCTCCCCACTTCTGTGCTGCTGCATCCAGGCCTGTATTTTTCACTAAGATGCATTTACATTTTAAATACAGAAATCTCTTTTGCTGAGGAGATAACTTTGACAGCCAGTCTTGGCAGGGAATTTCAAGTGGTTAAGATATTAGACAGGACATGTAATGAATGACTGATACAAAGGACAACAGTACCTATGGGCAGAAGACTTCTTATGACAGCTCAGCACTCCTGACCTACCAGGAATATGACAATTGCTCCAGTTCAGGAGGATGACATTATATTCTTTATGGAAAAGAGCTATAATTTCTTTATTTTGTTATTCTGCAAATCACTTCCCTTGTATTTCCTTTTAATTAAAAAAATACGGCCTATTTTTTTTCCTTCCTGTAATGTTTCTATTTATAACAGTCCAGCAGGTGTGGTTTAACCAGGGACTTCACACAGTTCCACATCACAGGATGAGTAAAATAGCTACTTAAGTCATTAAAGGAAGGCATTTGAAAGATTGAGCATGTTGCAGAGAAGTAACTGATTTAGAGAGGAACATCCACACTAAGGCACAATGCAGTTCTTAATTTCTACTTTAAAATAATAGGTAAGTCCTTCATATTTTTCTGAAGAAGCTCTGCATCCAGCATTCCATAGTCAATGTGCATGTTGTCATTAAATGTCCAAGCACGCAGCAGTCTTGATTAAAAAAGACAGCTGTTTATCTCTCTCTCTCTCTTTTTTTCTGCCATCGGTAAACACAGACAATATTATTCTTTACATTTCCTTAAGATGTGTTTTCTCTCCCTACACAAATGTACACACACAGGCATGTGTACCCAGGACTGACACACTGAGGGGCTTGTTTTCTTCACACTGTGCAGATAAGTGCTTTGATAAATCTGGACATCTTAGAATGAGTTATTTTCCCAATATTTCATGCTGCTTTTTAGCTTGAGGACTAGTGGATGCTCATTTTCTAAGGTGACTCTTTTTCTTTTTTTTTTTTTCCTTGCTGCGCTTGCTGATTTGCATTTGCTTTCATATCTCAAATAAAAAAAATTGTTAGCAAAAATAATCTGGTTTCTAGATTCCTCTTCTAAAAATAAAAGGAGTATGATTCTCTTTTTCTCATGCACGTTACATAGTTCTCATACTAGCAATGGTTTAGGTTTAACACCATGACCCTGTAGGAACATAGCAGGGCTCCAGGGAGGCTAATCACTGAAGCCCACTCCTTATTACTCACACAACCAGGAAATGTTAAGCTATAAGTTCCTATTTGTATTAGCAAGACTAGCAACTTCCAGAGTTCAAGGAAATGTGCTAACGTGGGTTAGAAGGTCACTAACATTATCTGAAAGTCACTTCAGAGACTATCTCAATCTCCTAAGCAATATAAATTCTTTAGCTGGGAAGGTACTACACACAATTTACAGAGTCAATGGACTGTGGTAACCACAACAGCTCCTGTTTTAATCATTTGGTCCTTTTCTGGCATTCTCACTGCGCTCCGATCAGATAGTCATGATTTCAAGCATATGTGTATTGCTTGCAAGCCCCATAAGAAAGAAACGATTTTTGAGACATTTTACTTTGTTTCCATAGCTGAAAAAAACAGACTAAAAGTATCATCAGTAGATTGGCCTGACTTTGTGCGTATCTCCTGTAATATCAGGAAAAAACTAAAAGCCCTAAACTGCCCCCCCACCATAAACACCTTTACTTGCATTTCAACCTCTTTGAGTCAAGAGTCTTCTGTAGGTGCTACAAGCCCAACAAATCATGCTATGACTTTACCCACACAGCTTCCCAGACTCATGCTCTACTAGGAGTTGATGACTGGCAGTTGAGCTGGTTTAACAAATAGACACCAAAATCTTTGTCCTCGAGTTTCTGGATAACCCTTGCTCAGCATCTTCCCAAGATGCCTGACGTGTGAAAGGCAGGATGGAAATAAACTTTGCAATTTCCAGAAAAGCAGCTCCAATGAGATGGTTAGGAATATGCACAGCAGCTCACAGTCTTGGTCTGATATCAGTGTTACCTATTTTTTAAGTGACACAAGGGACATACACGCCTGTAACTTGCCTGATGGACTACACTGTGAGGAGAAAATGGAAGTGGAAAGAGCTGGTGGGCCATGAGGGAGAGACACAATTAGGTGGCAGCATCGCCTAAACACAAATCTCTCAATCTCTCTTTGTTAACATGCCTCTGAAGGCAACAGGGCAAACTCAAGAGTCTCAGTTCAGTTTTCATGTGGTTTAGTAGGACTACTAAGACTATTATAATAATCCTTATTCAATATATTTTAACTATACTGGAGAACACAAGAAAGAAACAGTATAAAACATCATCACCAAGCACTAGAATATACAGAAATATGAGTACAATGAATTGTTATGATTTTTTTTGGTATTATGTAGTCTTCCTTTGATTGATATGATCAGATGCATGCTTATTGCAATCCCTGATTCCGACTTGAGTCCTCATGCTGGGACATCTTTGCTATTGTTGAAAGAACTTCAAACAAAGCTTGCTCTATCTCATCCTAACAGGATATCCACTTGTTCTTAGCTGCAAAATATAGTAATAACAAAAATCAGGTGGAGATGAGGGTTGATGGCCATTTTTGTATTTTGGAATGAAAGACAACGTGCAAATTAAAGTGTGGAGGAGGAGGAGAAGAATGCTCTTCAGAATCCTCTGGGCAGGTGACAAGGTGAGTGGATGAAGTGAGAAAGCTCTGAGAAACCAGAGCAGAGAAGCCAGCAGAATTTACTAAATGTGTTAGAATAAACACTACCTACACCTCTACCAAATGGCTAAAAACCCCTCACAAACTTGACCAATAAAAGCCCAGATGCTGCAAGCAACTTCACTCTAATCAATAAGTCTTTCTTCCTGAAAGCATTAGCTCAGTAAAAACCTGCAAAGTGAGAAAATGAAGGGTGTGAAGCAGGGGGCTGACTCATGAATGACTCTGCTCTTGAAGTCTGGCAAAGGCTCAGAAC